ATAATATTATTTTCATAAGGATGATTTCCCTAATCTCTGGACTAGTTAGGTTCCAATCACCTATGAGTTTCATAACCATTGGCTGGCTTATGCACTGTTCCAAAAATCTGCAGTTTTCTAATATTACAATGGCTCCCACTCTCCAATATAATAAAAGAGATTTTCATTTATTTATTTCAATAAGCCAGATTAGTTCTCATGTATGATAGATACAAAGAATATTTTATGTCCACAGGTGTATATTAGAAATTTTTATATAATTACCAATAGTAGTAGTAATAGGAATATATTTTCCTAACATAATCTTCAAATGTCATCTCTCTCTTGGCCAACCTGAAAATATATGAGAGTTTGTAAAATTATTACAAATAGCCATTGCTTTTAAAAAAAATCAAAGCAACTGCACTGTTCTACCCAATAACTTTTTCTCCAAAAAAAATACAATTGGATCTTTAATGTTATCAACTAATTCAGGCACTGTAACTTATGCAGAGTGTTAAAAAGTAATGGGCCTGGAAGTCAGGCTTGAAGGTTCCCACTTGTTACCTAGGTGAGGATTTGTTACAATTTACTACTATCCTATATTTTGGGCTACAATCAGCTTTCCACTAGGTTGGCACTTGGAGTGAAGTTGAGCGTTTTGCTCATTAACTTTCCTATGATAGACTGTCAAAAGGCCCGCCTGAACTCCTGTTAAGCTGCATCAACTTCTGTACCCTCATATAATTACTCGGTTGCTGCCACGGAGAGATATAAATTGTCTGATAAGACCCGATTTTCCTTTTAGCAACCTGAGATACCATCTCCTATTCTGTTCCTTAAATGAGCCAAATTGTACATTTCTTATAAAGGCTTTCACTGTCTTGACTCTTTTAATCCAGTATCCCAGCCCCTTATCGTTCAAATGCAATACCTATACATATTCTGCATGACTATTCCATTTTCCTCTCCAAATTTTCTGGCACCCATTTTCTAGCAGTTTAATAACACCAATTAAAGCCACGGAGTACTTACCTAAAGCGTCCTTCTTCCATGTCTCTAAATAAGTAAAATACATTCGATTATTGCTTCTGACATATGGGATTTCCACACCAGGATTTACAGTAACAGGATAAGCTCTCTCACTTTAAGTTCCTTAAAAGTGTACTCAGTTTGAGTGACTGATACAAAACTCTGATATCTACAGGAAGTTTGTGTTAGCTTCTCCTCTTGCTAAATCTATATCTTGAAAGTATTTCAGAGACAGAATTTAACGTTGTGTTGATTATAAGATTTATTAATGACTTTTTCATATCATTTATAATTTAGTCATTTTTAAAAAATTTAATAGGTTTTTATCATTTTGCCTGTGAACCTTAGTCTTTAACAGCTGAGCCATCTCTCCAGTTCTGTTATTGTTTTCGACTATTTATACTATATTCTCAATGTAAACTTGAGAAGTATAAGGATCATAGATAAAAATCTTATAAGCATGACAGCTTTTGTGCAACACAGGTAATCCACAGAAACAGCGCATGGTAGATACCAAAAACTTAGTAAATATTGCTCATTATAATTAACATTAATTCTTCCTTTATATAAGATTTAGAACTTGCCATGACATCTTTCAACATTTTTGCTTTTCAAATTTTCTTTACAAATACTGTGTATTTACAGGGTACTATTTGATGTTTTAGTATATTATGTAATGTAAAGATCAATTTAAACATGCTTCTCTTCAGACTCAGATTTTTTTTTTTTATTTCTTCCAGGTAGACTCATTCAAATTTGTTTTTTCCAGATTTCCAAATGCCCAGCACAAGAAAGTGAGGCACTGATGTGCAGAATATCATTCTGTTTATATTGGGGGAATGAGAAGCAAGGGTGGTAAAATTGGAAAGTGGAGAAAGTGGAGCAGAATGTGAATGTCTCTTCTTTCAGAGTTGTTCATTTCCATATCTACTGAAGGTTGTTCTACCAAATAATTAAAGTCTCTGCATAAACATCACATCTCCAAATAGGCACCAAAATACCCTTCTAAGGATTACGTGCTAAAAAAACATTCTATTTTGTATGACCTAATTTGTCACAGAAATTAACTGCAGGAATGATACAATCTATTTGCTTGCTTAAAATTTAGAAGGGATAAATTAAAAATATGTAACAGTTTAGGTAAAAAAAAATAATGTTAATTTTTCCTTATTGGAAATTCCATGATAGGAGATTTGTTGATTTTTATTGTAATCCTGCTCCATGGCAGAGCATGTTCTTTCCATGAATGGAGACCTTGGTTCAACCTACATCATGTAGATTGTGCACACATGCATGTGTGTCCACATGTGTGCACTTGCACATACCCACACAAAGAGTCTTCTTGTGATTCTCCTGACAACTAGCCTGTCACCAGACTGCATTTCTGGGAACTTGGGCTTTGAGAGGACACAATGGATCAGGGCAGAGAAATAACATGTACAAATATTGGTGTTAACACAAAAATAAAGTTGCAAAAATCTTAAAACTGTCAGTTAATACAAGTGCTCAGAACTCTCCTTAGGTTTTTCCCTTATAAACTCAAAACACAACCCAGTGGAAAGTAAAACATCTGGCTAGGCTTCACTTTGGACAGTAGAGAAGATGATTATAAATAGGCAGCATAGGATTCCACTTGAGGTATAACGATACATGTGAAAAATTAAGATACTTCTGTATATATTGGCCACATCCCTTATCTGACATAAACAGATATGTGCAAAATTAATGAACAATCACACCCAAGCTATAATCCAAGCTGTAAAAAAGTGGAGAGATATTATGTGAGAAGCTGACATAAAATTCCTCTTGTGTTTTTGTTTGTTTGCTTGGGTTTGTGCCTGATAAAGTTTAGCATCATTTGTGCAAACAAGTCCAGAAGAGAGAGCTACACAGTTCTGAGTACACACACGCACATACATACACACATATACATATACATACATATATACACACACACACACACACACACACACACATATATATATATATATATATATATATATGCACACATAACAGCAGTGAAGAAATTAAGCCATGAATTTGAAAAAGAGCAGGGGGGTAGAGTACATGTAAGAGTTTGTAGGGATGAAAAGGAAGCAGAAAATGATAAAATCTCAAACAACAACAAAAAAATGTTAAAAAAAATGTGTAGTTAAAGTATACAATGGTACTAAGTGAGCATTCTCATCCCAAAAATTATCTGTTTAAAATAAGACTGAAACTTAGGAAACACCAAACCATGCAGCTCCATGTCTGGCATCTGGGTCTTGGAATGGAATAGTCTAGGCTCCATAGAGCTTAGGTTGGTTTGCAACTCAGTTTATTTATTGCACCCTAACACTTTGCAACATGGTTTGTTTCATTTATTTGTTTACTTGTTTATCTATTAATTTGTTTAGGGTATACGTGTATGTGTGTATATATGTGCAAATATACATGTGTATGTGTGCATGTAGAAGCCATTGGACATCATGAGTGCCACTCTTCAGGCACTTCCCACTAATATATGTTGTGGGGAGGCTGCTTGTTGGTCCCCATCTGCTCAGCAGCTCAGTCCTGAAATAATCACACAAAAACCATATTATTTAAATCACTGCTTATCCTATTAGCTCTAACTTCTTATTGGATAACACTTCCATCTTAATTTAACCCATTTCCAGTATTTTCTATTTCACCATGAGGTTTGTGGGCTATCAGCAAGGTTCTGGCATCTATCTCTGCAAGGTGACATGGCTTCTCCCTCTGACTCTGCCTTCCTTCTGCCTGGCTATAGGCCAAGCCAGTTTCTTTATTCATTAACCAATAAAAGCAACACATAGACAGAAGGACTTCCCACACCACTCTTTTTTGGTAGGATCTCTGAACAGTCTAGAAAATGTCAAGTGTGACACTGGACAAGAAGTCCCAGGAATTCACTTCTCTCCTTTCCTTCGCATTAACATCAAAGTGCTTGTCACCACACCTGCTTATTTTTTGTTGTTGTCCTGGGTATCAAACACAGGTCCTCAGGGGAATCAAATGTATGTCCTCATGGATGCCAGAAAAACAGGCTGGTGACGGAACTACCTCCCCAGTCCAAGAGGTTTTAATTGACTAATTCATTTCTAACAATTTATTGCTTTGTAATCAGATTATTACTTATTTTATAGCATTTCCTCAAATTCTACATTTATCATTGTAGTAATTTGAATAGTGCTTCCCTATCCATGACACCAGAAAATATGACATTCTTTGAACATTATAGTTTTGAAAATATATTAAGCTAAGCAGATAATAGGAACTCATCCTGGATTCACAGAGGGTTCTGAATCATGAAGGGAAAGAAAGGAGATATTGGTTACTAACAAAAGACGATGCAAGCATGGAGACAATTTTTAGATTACCTGTGCATCCGTAATTTTTTGAATAGATGAGAAGTCATCTAATAGTCCTTAAACATAGGGTTCTGATTATAGTTAGTAAAAAAAAATAATATGATGCACCTAATCCCTTGTGTTATCAGTATCTGATGGCTGAATGGCAGTTTTTCATTGCAGTTATTGCTGTTTTATGTTGCTTACTATATAGCCTCATCACATCTTTGCAACTAAATTTCTAGCATACCTATTTATTGGCCAAATTACATAATTTGTTATGCTTTAAAATAATGAGCTTTAATAGACTGTGTTACATAATGGTGAAAGAAATAAATCAGAAAGGAAGAATTATGAGTAGCCTGGAAAAGTATTCTGAATAGTAGAATTTCTGCTATATACGTCTAAGTAATCACAGATTAAAGAAATATCAAGAAAAATCGGTAAGTATTCTGGGTGAAATTAAATTAAAATAAAACACATCAAAATAAACAGAATATCACTAAAGAAGTTATAGCGATGGAGAAAAAAAAAAAAGGTTTAAACAAAATCACCAATGTGGGTCGGTGGGGTTTGCAGCGCAATGTCCGCAACTGAAGCTCCTAGATTTGAGCAGGTGCAGGGTGCCAGGGCAGGATGCAGACACTGCTTTTGGGGTTTCACGAGTACATGTTCCAGAAGGATGAATACTGCATCTTTATCCTGGGCCTGAACAATGCTGGGAAGATAACCTTCTTGGAACAATCCAAAACATGGTTTAACAAGAACTACAAGGTGATGAATCTATCCAAAATCACCACTACTGTGTGTTTAAACATTGGCAGTGTGGACATGGGGAAGTCTCGTCTCATGTTCTGGAACTTAAGTGGACAAGAAGAGCTACAGTCTTTGTGGAACAAGTACTGTGCAGAGTGCCGTGGCATCGTCTATGTCATAGACTTCACTGATGAGGAGAGACTGCCAGAATCCAAAGAGGCATTTGAGAAGGTGGTTTCAAGTGAAGCACTGGACGGTAACCTCGTCCTGGTGTTGGCCAACAAGCAGAATGTGGAGACCTGCCTCACCATTCGTGACATCAAGACTACATTCAGTGACCATACCTGCAAGATTGGCCAACGAGTCTGTCTGACCCAGGTTTGCTCTGCTCTCACAGGCAAAGGAGTTCCAGAGGGCATCGAATGTATCATGAGGAAGGTTCACCGGCCACCACAGCAGAAGGACATCACAAAAGCACTGTCAACTTCACAGTCTTGGGACTATTCATCCCAGGTGTTGGAAGAGTACTCCCTGCTGGCTGTGTGCCACCAATGCTGGGGTTGAGCTGGATATGTTTGTTCATTCATTTATTTGCTTTATGTTTTCTCTAAATAAAAAAAAGATGCAAGGGTGGAGATGATTTTCATATTATCTGTGAATCCATAATTTTCTGAATAGATGAGAAGTCCTCTAATAGTCCTTAAACATAGTGTTCTACATATGTTAAGCCTATTGAATGTTCTTACATCCTTTTAATCCAAATAAATGTCACATTATAAACCCTATTTCTGATTAATGATAGAATTATAAGATTTCTAATTTTTTATCTCAATTTTAAGCATAAATAACATGTAAATGATCAGAATAGGTTATAGTACCACTTATCTGCATACACCCTTTTTCTTTCCCATAACAACTGTATATCTTCATGTGAACACACAAACATGTACATATGTACACTTACGCATATACATTTTTCAAGATAACAAGGCAGAATGTTATCATAGTATATATTGTTAAAAAGAAAAGTCTTTACGTGGCTGTTTCTTCTACACCAGTTGCAGTTTGAAAGTTCCACACACTTCACTGTCTTGTGTGTCTGTAGAGAAACAGGGTTTGGTATGTGGACCTAGTCTCACTTAGCATTTCTGTTATGACTTCCTCCTAAAATAATAAAAATACAGCCTTATGCATTGTCTCAGATTTTCCAAGGACACTTGATTGGTTGCCCGGTATTGACAAACACAAGCTAAGTTCACCCAAATCCAAACAGAATAGCCGTGGACTTTAAAACAGAATGGCCTGTTGGCAGGACTCTCATCAGGGCTGCTGGAGGAAATGCTCTCTTGTGATTTCCAACATCCTTTACAAATAACAAAAATCCATATTTTAGTAGTTTAACATTAAACAAGTATTTTTACTTTGTTTGCTTATTTTCTTTTTGAGACAAGGTCTCTTTCTACATGGCCTTAGCTATCCTGGAACTCACTATGTAAACCAGGCTGACCTCCAACTCAGAGATCCACCTTCCTCTACTCCCTGCATGCTCAGATTAAAGGCATGTGCTATCACACTTTGCTAAACAAGTATATATAGTTTTTAAATGAGTAGACTGAGTTGTCCTGAGGAGGACTGTCATTTTCTGAAGGGAAATGAAGAAGTGGATTTAAGGTAGAGAAGTGGTGCTGGGGGTGGGTGGGGAGTTGGAGGAGTGGAGAAAGGGGAAATGTGGTTGGGATATAATATATGAGAGAAAAATGAATAAAAAGAATATATCAATTCACTCATGTCAGTGAAACCATAACCTAAGCTTTCTAACTTAGTTTAGAATTCATAAATTTCAAAGTTTACAAAGAAATTTAAGTCATTTTAGAAAATCTGGCTATCTGTTATGGCTTGAAAGCATAACACCCAGTTATCAAAGGTTCTAAAATATAAATTATGCTAGAATATTAACAATTTTATTGTTATTCTAAACTAATTCCAGTTAGGGGTATTTTTTATTAATAATGAGTCTGAATATGTATAATTTAAGTGGCTTTTCTAATTAAGTTTCAAATAATTTCACCTGTGCTAACTAAATAGTGAGTTTGTGTTTTGTCTCATTTTGATGTTATTCACTGACAAACAACCTAATGAGCAATAAGGACCTGAATATTCTAAATCTGTTGCTTAGCAGAAGAAAAGAAAGAATGTAAAAAATACAAAGTTATCTGTCCACTCATTTTAAATCACATATTTTTTCATTACTATGAATTATTACTTAATGATTAGACTTTCTAATATCTCTCCTAATTAACTCCAAATTTGTATCAGTCTATCTCAATATGTAAGTTATTCAGGTAGACTACCTCAAAGTGCTAAAAAATTCCATCAGACACTCACATTACAGTGTTGGTCTTGAAATTTGAGAAATAAAGTCTGAAATATAAAACAGAATATATAAAGCAGCTTCAATGTTTTATCTTAACCTGTACTATGAACAATAAAATTTTGAGTTAATTGCTGACTTCCATCAAATCGTACAAAATACGCAGAAAAAATATATCTTGTACCCAATTCCACTCTATGGAAATAAGTTGTAAATGTGATTTCTATATAAATAAGAGTTCTAAAATAGATATATCATGTAAACTATTGAGAGAACTCTGATATTCCAGACAGTTGGCTTTGTTATCTACCTCAGCATCTTTTACTTTTGCGTTATTTTTACTGTCTCTATTCACAATTCGTGTCTTCTTCACCACAAAATACCTTTTATATTCGAATCTCTCTATTGTTCACTCTGACTTATGCAAACTATCACATCTACTTCACTTGCTCCACTCCCAAACTATCTTCCTCCTTGGTGCTATAGCTTTCTCTGTCACAAATGGTTCCCAATCTGGGTCAGCTATCCTGGAAAATAGTTCTGTGACAGCCTGGATCTTCCTCTCTCGTGGCGGGAAGAATAGTATTGCTTTAATCTAGTTACTGCATCTCTGGATCAGAAGGCACAAAGTGTGTCTCATATATTTTCTGTGTCAAGCTCCAAACTGTTATGTACCTACCTAATGCGTGATGACAAGAACATCACAGATGATTCCCTGATCAGTTACTGCTCACAAACATAGGCAACAGTACAGATGGGGACCAGACAAAAGAGAAAACTACTCAAGTCATCAAAAAGAAATATAATTAATTGGAAATACCTGTTTTGCTAAACAAAGGAAAAAGGTAAGCACTAAAACAGTTTTGTGTTCATGGTTTTCTAAGAAAATATATATTAGTGAAAATCTTTAAAGTCAACTTTTATCATGAGATAAAATATTATAGTCACATTTTTAACATAAATGAAAATTTAGTTTTATAAAAGTATTATAATGAATATAAAGACCCTAGAAATTGTTCAAGACCATTTGACCCACTTTAGGAATTTATCTCTCCAAATAAAGGGAAAAAAGCAAACAAAGGAACAGGTTCTATGTTCAACCCAGGGCTCAATGCTGGTCTCCAAGCACATCTAGCCCACTGACAATGAAACAGCTGACTAAGTCATTTAAGAATCATTTGAATTCAACATGCTTAAAATTAAACTTGTTCCTCCCTTGGAAGCTAGATCTGCTATCAAGCCGGGACACAGGGATTTTTGTTGCCAGAATTCAATTGTTTACACGATAAACCTGGGGACTGACTTTAAATCCCACTTTATTTGGTTCATCAATTAAACACGAAGTTCTTCCCACTTTGCTGATTCCAATTACTTGTTTCTCTCTTTTCTTCTGCTTCTTTAACCCAGGGATCTAGCATATCTCATTTGAAATGCTTCAACAGCCTCTGCTCTTAGCCAACCGGTTTTGCATAATATAAACCAAAGATTGTTCTAAAGCAAATTTTCTTATCTTGTTACTTTCTTGAGCAAAATCACTTTGGTGTTTATGCTACTACTGCTCATTATCATTGCTTTTTAATTTGGCTTAAAAAGCCAAGAAAGACAAATATCTTATGTACTCACCCATAAGTGACTTTTAGACATAAAGCAAAGACAACCAGACTACAATTCATAATTACGGAGAACCTAGATAACAGTGAGGACCCTAAGAGAGACATATGTAGATCTAATATACACAGAAAGTAGCAAAACACAAGATTTCCTGAGTAAATTGGGAACATGGGAAGCATGGGAGAGGGTAGAAGGGGAGAGGAAAGGAATGGAGGGGTTTAGAGAAAAATATATAATAAAACAATAAAAAGAATCAGTTCAAAAATTACAATTAAGAGAAAAAGGATTTGCAAATTTTGCAACCAATATTTCTTTGTAAACAAAATTTGTTTTATCAATATCAATAAAGTAAATTCCTTGCTTTAAAAAAAAAGGCAAAGTGATGTCTATAGGTTGTCCATACTTAACAGACAAATGCATAATATCTCCTTTTTTACCAATTGCAATAATGTAAAACATTGTTTTATTAATAGTAAAGTAACTTTCTAGCATATTTGGCCCCACCAAAGTAAGCATTATTACTAACTATTAATGAACACATTTTTAATATCTAGCAAACCAAATACAGGAAATAGTTGTATATCATATAAAAATGTATTTACAAGAGAATTATCTATTTATTCATGTATATATGTGCCTATATACATCAGATACATATACATATAAATACATATATGCATATAAGGGATAAATATGGGTAAGTAGGCATATAATTATCAGACTGAAAATAACAACAATAATAATAGTGATGACAGTAGGTCATGGCAATGAAGTAGAAAATGGGTGTTGGTATTTGCCATGGCAAATCATCTCTTACCATTAGATAAAGTACTTTAGCTATATATATAAAAATAAAAATCCTATTTGAATCAGTATGCTAAGTTTTGCAAATGAATCATATAGTTATTAAAGCTCTACATTATAAGAACCCATGCCCAAAAATTTCATTTTTTTTTTTTGATTTTTCGAGACAGGGTTTCTCCATAGCTTTTTTGGTTCCTATCCTGGAACTAGCTCTCTAGACCAGGCTGGCCTCAAACTCACAGAGATCCACCTGCCTCTGCCTCCCGAGTGCTGGGATTAAAGGCGTGCGCCACCACTGCCCGGTTAATACAGCTATAAAATAGAAATTATAATATA